CAGTATATATAAATTTAGATATAGAGTTAGGTATATTTTTCTTGACTTATTCACGATTTGAATTATTTTCATTCTGTCATTTCAGTGGGGATTAGGTTCCACTATTAGTAAAAGAGGCTCAAAGTAACATTGACTTGAACAAGGCCAAATTTTACTGCTTCCTTCTGTAAAACTCCATTAAGTAGCGAGTCCAGGAGCTGGGAACTCTGGTCCACAAGGTTATCAAAAACCCAGACTCCTTCTTGCTGACTGTTTCATCATTCCAAAGTCAAGGCCCTCATCCTAGCGCTCTAAGATGGTGACTGTGACGCCCACACTCCAGAGAAGGAATGGAGTAAGAGGCAAAGAGACTAGTTGTTTTTAATGAAGAGCCCCGAAGCCGCGGCAAGACACATTTGCTTACATCTCACTGGCCAGCACTTAGTCACATGACCGCATGTTTGTTTGTCCTGGAGGCTGTGAAATGTGCTGTTTTAAATTCTGAGTAACCATATATCCAGGCAAAGATGAGAGGTTCTGTTAATATGGAGGAAAGAGAGAAACATGTACTGATGAATAACTAGCCGTTTCTGTTATAAATTTCTCAGTTTCTGGTGGGATCATTCATCAATGTGATTAAAGGTATAAATGTATCAAAGCAAACACTTTTTTTTTTACAATCAATTTATGTTTATTTGAATTTTTTAATTTGACATTGTCTTCAGTGATTCCTTTCCTGCCTCTCTTTTATATCTGTATCATTATATTTATTACATGATGGGAGCAATTAACCCTATGTTTATTCTCTGGTAGACTTGGTAGTAGTTCTAACAGGAAAACAATACCCAAGCATGGATACTTAAGACCATATAGTTTCTAGAGATAGCTGCAAACACTCTAACCTTTAACCTTTACCCAAGTGTCCATGTTTACTGCAATCTCCTCTACCTTTTTTCCCCTTTTAATTTTCTTCACGCCCTCCACCCCAACCTTCACTCTCACTCAGCTCAGTCTCTACATCGCAATCCATGGTTTTTGCATCTGATGTATGAAAAACTGCTCACCCTTTTGAAAACTATGGCTGGCCAAGTGCAAGTTCCCAGGAGAATTCTCAACGGGCCCCTTAAACACAAACCTCATTATTTAGTTTCGGCCTCTGCAGGTGGCTGTGTAGTTAGTACTGCAGCAGAGGCTGCCCTGTGGTCTCTAGCAGGGAAAGAGCAGGAAGATGGTGCACACGCTATACGCTTTCATGAAAAAGTGCAAAGGAAACACTTTTAAGGAGAACGCTCAATGCTTACTAGAAATGCAGGGTCTTGTTTTTGGCTAAGTAAGTTGCAAGCAGATATAGTCTCCTCGAAAGTGTTACCTGTCAAGTGTGAAATATTTCTTAGAAACAAACAGCAGATCTCGCTGTCACCAGCCTCATTACTATTGCCAGCGCTCGGTATTCTAGTCACATGAACCTTATTTTTGTTTCTTGAAAGAATCATACTACTTCCAACCTTAGGGTTCTCACACAGGCTGCCCTCTGGCCATCTTCATCCTCCTAACTTCTACCTTCATACAGATTTCTGCTTAAATTCATATCCTCGGGGAGCCTTTCCTAACTCCAACACACTAATCAGATGCTAAGAGACTAGTTATATGCTCCACGGCATTCTTTTCCTCTGAGACACTCGGCACAATGGTAAAAAATAATTAATTACATAATTATACATTTAATATTTGTTGTGCCCACTTGATGTATAATCTCTGAAGACAGGAACTGTAGTTTGGTGCCTAGTACATCTCATAGATGCTCAATAAATATTTGTTGGATGAATTGGTGAAGTAAATTTAAAATGTAAGAGCTGCAGGAAAGCACTTAATAATGAAATACTTTAAAATTAAAACTATATTATGTAATGATCTTTAATAGTCCAAAGAAGCCCTTATGATCTCTAGGAGGCTTGGGGTTTGAAACTGACAGTATTTAGGATATTCGTAGGAAAGAAGTTCATGATACATTGTTAAGTGGGGCAAAAAGATATACTTGTCTATTTTATGTAGTTTCATGAAAAGAAAATCTATATGTGATGTTTCTGTGTGTTTACAAACACACGTATATATAATGTGTATATATATATATACACATACATATATACAGGAATAAAAGAAAATCTAAATAAAATGTATTTGTTTGAAACAGGGCTGTCTGTTTCATATTTCAGCTCCATCATTTACTGGCCATAGGACTTTAAAATAGTACACATAAGGTATCTGATAAATCTTAGCTATCATCGCAATATAGATGTAAGAAGAAATACAAAGTGAAGGGTTATACTCCAAAATGTTATCAGTGATTACCTCTTGGGTTTTGTTTTTTAAAATCTGTATTAGTATTTATTTTTTTAAATCTACATTTACTATTTGTTCACGAGCATGGCCCAGTGTAACATAGTGATTAGCTTATGGGTGCTATAAACAATCAGCAGTTCCTGGATTCAAATCACAGTTGTACCATTTGTACCCTGCATAACTTTGAACAAGTTATTTAACCTCTGTGCTTCCACTACTTCATTTGTACAATGACAATCACAATAAACATACCATTTCTGAAGGCTATCAGAAGGAACAGGAAAAAAAAATGATACAGTCAAGAACAGTGCCTGTCACATAGTAATTGTTCAAAAGGGTAGTCGATTTTATGTAATGAAAAATAAAAATTTTTAGAAAGATTATCCCTAATAGTTTGACAGATTCCTCTGGAGTCTTTAATCTCTGATTGATATAAAGAATGAGATTATTTGTGAAGTTAGAGAAGAAAAAAGGCAATTTCCTTTCAACTGAAGCCATTTGAAGCCAACTCTGAAGTGCTACAATTTTGTCTGCTTCATCATTTTACTGGCACGAATTGAAACTGATTTTATGTAGGCCAATGTAAGTTATTTGCTGGTGTTTCAAGTTTGTATTTTTGGAAATTTTAGTTTTACACTTGCTGGCCCTGAATTCTAAAGTTATGAAACACTCCCCAACACACTTCTCTTAGCTACTGTCACACCATGGTTCTTTCTCTGCCACTTCTGAGAGGCCCATGCTGGCTATCCTCCTCCACCTGATTTCTAAAGGCTGGAATTCCCTGGGGCCAGGTTCTGGGTCTTATACTTTTTGTCTACACTCTTACTATGGGCACTCAACATTCCCATGGCTTTGAATCTATTATCTAGCCCAACCTTTATTTTCCAGATACATCTGTCCAACAATCTGCCTCATTTTATATCTTTACTTGGGTATCTCAAATTCAACAGTTCGCATATGAAATTATTCTTTTCCACCCTTGTAAGACCCCCTCCTCTCCAAGTCCTCCTTTTTTTGGTCTTTCCTGTCATGAACCACACCACCTTCAAGCTAGTCATCAGTGTCATCTTAAGAGTTTTTCCTGTCTCTCAACTTCCACATCCAATCAACCCATCAGCAAGTTCAGTCATCATTTCTTTACACTTTCAAAATGTACCTAGACTCCCTTCCTGTCTCTCCATCTTTACTGCTGCACCCTCCATCACGTCATAGCCATCTCTTAACATGACTGCTGTACAGCCATAGCCTCATTAGACTTGCCTGCAGTCTTCCATTCTCCAAACTGCTCCACCCAAGTTCAACCAGTCATCTTTTTAAAGCATAAATCATATCATGTTGCTTCTTTTATGTTAAAACTTTTCAGTGATTCCCTACTGCGTTTAGAATAACATCTACACATATGGCTTGCATCCTAATTCCATGTTATCACCACGAACATTTACAAAGCCCAACATGATCTGGCTCTTAATCACCTCTATTCCTGCCACTCTTCTCCACATTATAACCCAGCATATGGTAAACTCTTGCCACCCTCTTTACACTTTTAAGCTGTTTCCTCAGCCGATAGCAGTCTCTACTCCCTTTCCCATGCACATGTATCTTTTCTTTTCTGTTCTTAGTTTTTTGAGGCTTTCCTGGCCCCACTAAGTGAGTTTCCCTGTTGATCAGTGGTCCCTATTCTGATCACAGCCATCAAGACATGTCCTCTTTGATCCAACCATCTTCCACTATGCACAGTGAATATTTGACATGACCCGTTGATTGTTCAACGGTGGCTTTGAAGGATAAATGGTATGAAAAATGTACATAAACAGAAAATATTGCATATCATAGGGGAAAGGAATTCCCAGATTAAGCTGCTGCTGTAGCAGTCAATCCTCTACTATCTGGGATACCTGTAGTGTAATTTGTTTCGTTCATTCAACAAATCCTGGAGCCCTCCGATGAAACTGAATATAGCTCTTGAAGTTGGGTTTACGTACAGTATAGAATAAGACAGATACTTGCCCCTGACTTCATGGAGCTTGTATTCTAGCATAAGAGAGAGGTATAAAACAAGAAAACAAATGATAATATAATGTCATATAAAGGTAAATGTTATGAAGAAAATTAAAGGAGGGCTATGCGTGAGTGAGGCTATTTTAATGGTATGGTCCTCTCTGAGATGAAATTTGAGCAACACCTGTATGGAGCAGGGCAGTGGTCCTGGAAAGAGGGGAGAGGAGTTTTGGGGGCAATGATAGCAGGTAAGTGCAAAGGTACAGGGGTCTTTTCTCTCCTGTATAAGGCGAGGTCGAGGGCTCTGCACATTTTTTTCCTCCAATGATTAATAGCCAGCACAATTTTCAGACCAGTGCTGGGTTTTGCAGTTGGAATTCAACCCCATCTCACATCCGTGCTTTCCTGAAATGCCTCTTCCCCTAGGAAACGTTACCTCATTTACCGAGGGGAGATCTCGAGTTCCTCTAAATAGTAGTATAAACTTTAAAAAGAAAAATTAGTGCTTGTTACTTTCTAAGATTGTGTGAGTGGAACTGTGACTTTGTTTTTTGGGGCAACTTAGGTACAGTTGCAGGATAGCTGCTGCAACTAAACAGTGGGGCATGTTGCGGGGACACCCGCCCTGCACACCCGCCCTCCCGCCGCACGAGGGGCTCTTTTCCATGGAGACTACATTTCCCAGAGTTCCCCGCGGACCGGGAAGACGCGTGAAGCGGCGTCTCCTAGGACCCGGATTGAGGCAAGATGGCGGGCTCGTGGTGAGCAGCGGTGAAGGTAACCGCTACCCTCTCCTCCGGTTAGGGAGTCCTTAGAAGCTGGGCAGGCTTCTGGCAGGTGTCGAGGTCTCTTAGCGGCAGGATAAAGCCTCAGGCGTCGCCAGACCCGGTGCATCCTACTGAAGGGCTGGCGCGTGGCTGCGCGCTACCTGTGGGGCTCCCTCGTGCCTCCGCCCATCGCACGGGGACCCTTACGTGTCGAAGTCTTTTCGCTCTGTCCCCAGGTTCTAGTTCCTGCGTTCCTGGTAGCCTGTTCCTCAAACCTCGCGCCCTCGGATTCTGTCCGCAGCTTTTGATTTGGGATTTGATTCCGGGCCAGGGGCTTTATTCTATTTCTCTCCCTGGAGTGAATAACCTAACCCCCAGGAGGGTATCTATCCTTGCCTCTGGGCCTCGGACAGAAGGGATCTGTTGCCTTCCTCCCCAAATGTTTTGTTTCTCGGTTCGTGGTCTGAAGACACGGGTTTGCGTTCTACCCATGCCATCTATTAAGTATAGGTGTAGTGGGCACGTAAATCGTTTGACCTCTCTGAACCTCGGTTCTTAACGGTATTAAACAGATCTGTGTAAGAGCCTATAATGTATAGGCAAGGGGGTTATAAACTCTAAAAAGCACACTGTATGAACTCAGGGTATCACTGCTAGTACACTGACAGTGGGAGCAATCAACCTGCACTACGAAGCAAGTAAGACTGCGGCCCGAGGCCTTATTGAGGGAAGAGAATGAATAGTCGTCGAGGCAAATTAAAAACTAGGGATGTAACAATGGTTATTATCACGGATTCACAACAGCCACGGAGGCTGCGGTTGTTTTCCCCTTTTTACTATGGAAGAAACAGGGTGGCTTAATTAATGACTTCCAAAGTTTCAGTTTGTAGTTGACTGACCCTTAAGTTTTTGGAAGCAAGTCATTTAAATTTGTACTTTAGTTTCTTTATGAATCAAAATAAAAATACCTCTTAATGATTAATGTAGGAGTAAAATAAAGTAGTGAAAGCACCTTGGAAGTTTAAAAGCTTTATGCATATATGAGAGGGTGAGAGTTGGGACTTTCAGGTGTTCATATATGTTCCTCCAAATCAGTATTTAATCGGACAAGGATAGGCATTATTTAGTATTTTACTTAATCAGAAACTTGATACTGCTTTAATAGACGTAATAAGACCTTGTACATCGTACCTGACATTAGCATTATGAAGGAGGATGCTCTATTTATCTATCGTGTGAATGACTGTTTCCTAGGGTAATTACACATTTGCTGAGCACTCATTGAATGGAAAGAACTACACCAGGTGCTGAGAAATTTGTAAGAAATAGTAATAGACATAGTTCCAGGGTTTTGATCTTATATTTTGATATGATGTTGCTCATTGTCCTAAATCTAATGGAAATAGAAAGTTGTTGAAAACTTTTGCTTTAGGTGCTGGTAGTTATAGGTAGTAATTCCTATCTTGTTCTTGCAGTGTTCGTTGTATCGTGTCACCTTAATTCACCACAGGTAGCGTGATTTTTTTTTATTTCTTATGCAGGGATGAAAATGGGTATGCCTACAAGCAGATTTTAAAAGCAGTTCCTCTTCAACTGATCTTTCCTCTCACCTGATAAACATCTTGATTCACCATGGCATTAGCAGCAGCAAAATGGGTGATATCAAACAGGACTGTCTTGAAACATTTAATTCCAATTCAAAGTAAGTGAGTTTTTTAATGTGTAAAAAAACTTCAAAGTTTTCCAAATATTATAGAAGTACATGTTCCCTGTGGAAAACTTAATGTGTTTGGTTACTGTATATGCCTGTTAATAACAAGTGTATGCAATAGTGGAAAAGGAGAGAAAGAATGTCAAAAGGGGAATGAATCAGTTACGGTTATATCTTTACTATGAGTATCATACAAATGTGGAAATATCTCTGAATACAAGGGTGAAAAAAGTATATCGCAGATATATATTGCACAATCTATCACACAGTATCTAATCATTCCCACTTGTGCATTTAAAAGATCTATTTTATACATGTGTATGTATATGTGTATAAAGGCAGAGTAAAAGGTGTAGGCAAGATTGTGTAGACCACAAGTGGGATTTAGCTGAGGGCAAGTAAGAGATTGATAAAGAGGAACTTCCTCTGGTTTAAATCACCTATATTTACTGTTTTGATATATTACTTTTTTAGTAGTTCTTAAAATTAGTAAATAGCAAATTTATAATCCATTTTACAAAGATAATCATTATTAATATTTTAGTGTATTCTTTCTGTTTTTATATAGTCATTTTTAAAAATGTAATTTCCACCTTTCTTTTCTAAAGAAACATATATAGTTTAACATTTCCTTCAAAGCCTGTTAATACATGTTGATAGTCAAAACATTGACCCATATAAACAGACTATTAAAATCTTTTTTCCCAGCTAACCTTGCTTTCACTTGCATCTTGCTCTGTGAACTCTGTATTCTCCCAGACACTGTAGAGAGTTACAATAGGTTTGTTTTTTCATGTTTAGGTATGTCAGCCAACTTTTTTACACATCTCTGCCTGATCTTAATCTCTTCCTTCATGTTTCCTGTTTATTACCATTTGTAATTGAACATTTGTTTATTGAGTTAAGGGGAAGAGAGTTGTTTCAAGACTAGGGTAAAAAGTGTAAGAGTATAATTAAGTAAATAGAGGAGGAGATTGCTAAGAGACTAGATATAAACTAAAATCAGAGTGAAAACAAAATAAAATTGCTCTTGATTATTTAAGAGCATTTTTGTGTTGAGAATGGGGAGAGACACTTTACCCACAACAGACATCCACCTGCAAGGCTGATAGGAAATCAGACCTCATCAGTTTTTACCTATTCCATGTCCTGAAACACCCATTAGTCTGCACTCAGGTTAATCTGAAAACAAGTTAGCCTCTGAATAAGTGAAAATTGTCTATGTTTACTTTACCTACTAGATTGCAAATTTGTTCAGTGTCTTAATTTATTTTGGTTTCCTCAGTGCCTCTCAGACATGATAGATGATAAATGTTAAACTGAATTGAATGGATTAGAGTTAACTAATAATTAATTGAGGTTTCCCCAGAAAATTATTCCATTATCACTCTGTCATCCTAATATGACTACCTCACTTCATGCATCCTGAAGCTCCTCATTCTGCATGATTTCTATTATTTCTATTATTGATGGCAAAGTATTATTATTACTCTTATTGATATTTTACATGAAAAGGAAGGACATTAAGATTAGAGGTAAACAAAACAATGATTAAAGGAGAAAGTTCAATGAGCAAAATAAAAAGCCTTCCTATATTCCAGAAGGAATATTAAAAATCTTCCAAAATACATAGTCAACATGGGAATGTAGACTATTTTAGTTTTTTAAGCATAGAAAATCATTTGATCTTTATAACTTTGGATAATGCCACATGGTATTATCCTGTTTCTGAAGTTGAAGAAACTTGCATTCTCTGGACCTCAGAAATTTCCCCTACCTAGGTCACATATCTGGTAAATGAGAGCTCTAATCAAAACCTAGGTCTCCCCATCTAATTTTGTCCAATATACTTTCTGCTATACCTCTTTCCTGTAGTAACTGAAAATATTGAGCATTTGCAAATTAAGTGGAACTATCAGTTTTTATAGATCTTATCAAAATGCAATTAAACATATATATAAAACAAGAATTTATTTATGGAGAGCTGACCCTCACTGAAATTCTTTTTGGCGCATTGCCTTGCCTTGGGCCAATTGATGTTAACTTTGGGATTAATCCTAATTATATATTTAGAACCTCTGCTACCATATTGAGAATTTTTCTCTTCATAAAATGTCAGGTGAGTTTTTCAAATATTAATTATTCAGAAATTAGCATTTTAGAGGCAGCTTGGCAGTCACTTTTTTACTAGTAGCCAATATGGGGACACATTAATGAACAAAATTTGGTTCCTGGTCTTAAAGAACTTATTTAGACTTAGAGTTGAAACAGACATCTATGGAAATACGAAATACCTAGAATGTGATCTATGTCATGAGAGTACAGACAAATGTCTATGTAAGTATACAGTGGAAATCTTACAGAGTTTCTTGTTGAATGGAAATACTGCTGTCTTGAGTTTTCCCTCCTGCCTATTTAAGAACACTTAATTCTGGCAGTCCTGCCTCTGCCACCTGTTTCTTTCAGCACTGTGTACATTACATAGCTGGTTTGGATTCAAAGAGTAAAAACTTCTTTTAACATGTGTAATTAGGAAGATCTCCAACAGTGTCAAACAAGAAAATAAAATACATGTAAGTGATCTTTTCATTATCCTTGGATTTTTCTTACTGAATGCTCCTCTGTATTAGCACAGATAATTGAAAATTAATCTTTTGACAGATGAGGTTAAATTTCTAATTCTTTGTATTTTGTTATCTTACATCAGCAGAATTTTGGAATTGATATTTTCCTGAGCAATCTTTTATGATAATAGTGAATTTTGTTAGGATACTTTTTATGCTTTGAAGTAAGAATTTATATCTAGACTTCTAAGTATATGCAACCCTTGGGGAAAGGAGGTATAAAAAGATGGAAAATACATCTTTGATACATAGAAATAAGTGAAAAAAAAGAAAGACCACAAAGAAGGTATAGCAATGTCATATGAAACACTGGTTGTGGAACATGTAAAATAGACAACTCTTACCACTGATTTTATCGAAAAGTAACAGTAGACTTTGAAGGGTGAGTGGTAGTTGAGCAAAATGGGGATGGTATTCCATACTGAGGTGTAAAAGGCTCAGTTGAGAGAATGTGATCCTTGGCTTTAGCCAGGATACACATAGTACCCCCTTATCCACAGGGGATACGTTCTAAGACCTTCAGTGGATGCCTGAAACCAGTGATAGTACCAAACCCTCTACTGTGTTATTCCTGCACATACATACCTTATGATAAAGTTTAATTTACAAATAAGCACAGTAAGAGGTTAGTAGTAACTAATAATAAGACAATTACAATACTCTGTATACAAAAACAGTAAAACAATAACTATATTGTAATAAAGGTTATATGAATATGGTCTTTCTCTCAAAATACTGTACTTTCACCTCTCGTCATGATGTGAGATGAGAAAATGGCTAGGTGGTGAGATGAAGTGAGGTGAGAGACGTAGACACTGTGATGTAGCATTAGACTACTGTTGACCCGATGCTATTTCAGGAGGAGGATCATCTGCTTCCCAACTCTGGTAACTGAGACCCAGAAGGTGTAACTGGATGAGGGAGGACTACTTTAAAAAACCTATACCAAGCTACATTTATGTTTTTTTTTCCTTTACATTTAAAAGAACACCCTCTCGCTGAACATAGGAAAATCTTTCACAAACTTTTAAAAAAGTAATTACAGCTTTTGAATTTGCAGGTATTCTATAAAAGGGAAATAAGCTTTGAAATGTGAGCATTTTGATTAAGAAAAGTTAATTTTGAACAGTTTATTTTGTATTTCACCCCTTAACAGTACCCCTTTATGAACTATGTACTCCAGTCACACGAAAGTTTTTACAATACTCAAATACTTCATGTTCTTTCTTACCTCCGGTCCTTGGCACTTGTTACTCTTTCAAGGAGCATTGCACTCCGCCCCACCAACTCCTACTTACTCCTTCATCCTTTAGGAGTGAGAACGTCATTACTACTAGAAAGGTGTTCTTGAACTTGCATGGTTGTGTTTTGTAACCTGTCCATGTGCCCCTCCCTCTCCCAGTGCTTACCCATTCTAACAGAGCTTACCTTTTATATTGAAATTGTTTGTTTACTTGTCTATCTTTCACTATAGTTGTATCCTTTTCGAGGGCAGAGACTGGATCTTCTGTGTTGAATCCCTGGCCCCTAGTACAGCCCTGTTTAATAGTAAACACAGTAAATTTTGGTTGGATGAGTAAAGCTAGCCTTATATTTATGTGAGAATGTATGCTCAAATTAACTAAATCCATTGAACTTTTTTGGGTTTTTGCAGATGGAGCTTTATGTTGTGTTAGTCATAAAACTACATATTCTTCTCTTCCAGATGACTATAATTGGTATGTATTAAAATTCAATTGAAAAAATAATAGTCTGTTAGCTTTGTATCTGAAATGGTTTAATTTTATTTCTTGTTTTGGTATTTTCTGCTTTCTTTTCTGATTATTCTTTCTTTAATTTTGTTTTTAAGAATTATTTTAGTGATTTTTATCTACCCATTATTTGGGCTTATAAATATTTTAAATAAAAGTCATTATTGTGTTTCAGTGAATACTTAATTTTTTGTGAGACAGACCTGCTGTTAGAAATACTGTCTTTTCTTCTTGAAGCATTCGTTAGCCTTTTGGAAAAGTTAGTTTTTATAATTTTCTCTTGGAGTTCATATCTCTTAGCTTAAGCAGTTATCTATCTTTTATTTGATGTTGAATAATCCTAAATTACAAATATTTAAATTCAACCATAATTGATTTGGTATTTACTCATTCCTAACCAACTATGCTAAGAACTCAGAAAAATGTGACTAAGATACTGTTTTATTCCCTGTAGCAGAGTCTGATATGCAAAAACTGCAACATATTTCCTTAAGCTATGTTGTTTTTATTGCAGATTTTAGAAAAACATTTTCTTCCTTTTATACTAGATTTAATTATATATTTAGTAGGTACTAAGATAATGATGAAATTAGGTAATAGGTAACACTTTTTAAACATGAAGAGATTGAGTCTTATAAGTACTTCACATGACATAAAACTCCATCCTTTATCAGAAAGGTTTAATTTTCATTGTAGCCATATTACAGTATCTTGTCTTCAAATCATAATGAAACAACTTCATACCTTATCCTGTGTTAGCTAAAATACACTTTATGGTTTAATTGCTGGTGTAGTTCAAATCTAGTTGGTGTTGAAATCCTAGCAATTTAAATTTATAGACATTTAGAGAACATATAAGTTTAATAAAAGCTGAAAGTCATGTTCTTTAGAGGGTATGTGGATCTAAGTACAGTAGTAGTTGCCAGAATCTTTGAAAAACACACTTGGTTAGTTGGTACCTGAAGGAATGAGATCCAGCCAGAGCATTCCTGGAAGAAGTAGATAGAGGAGTATTACCCAAAATGTGTTCTCTTGAGGAATATTAATGGAGGGAAGGGATAATATTCAGTAATTCACAAATGTGTTTGACCACAGAACCCTTTTTATGGGAGTCTTAACAGTTGTACAGTTCTGCCAAAGGCGCTCGGAGAAATGCTGATCTAGAAAAAGTGCTCAGCTGCAGTCTTCTAAGATTGGAAATTCAAGTGATTCTTTATCTGGAAGATTATGTACTTTGCTCATCTTCAACTTTAATAATTCAACTAAGTAATGTCCTTAGGAAGATCATTTTTAGATAAGGAAGTTTTTATAATAGTGATAAGTAAATGCAAAGATCTTTTCCAAAGACTTGGGTAGTCTAAAAATGAATAAGTTAAAGAATAATTTAGATAAAATAATGTGTGATGGTGCATTAAGGATTTAGTGTTGTGGTAGTTAAAGTGACCATTTTTGTGTGATAGTCTGAGTTTCTCCTATGATATGGGTGCCAGGTTTGCCAGTGCAGTGTTATGGCATTTATTCTTCAGGGATTCATGATCAGTTCATTTTGGCTCTAAAAATAATCATCCTTCTTTGAACACAGTTTAACTCTGTTTCTAAACTTTCTGTTTTTAGCAAGGTAGAGCTGGCTTTGACATCTGATGGCAGGACAATAGTGTGCTACCACCCTTCTGTGGACATTCCATATGAACACACCAAAGTATGTATGAGAACATCTCTTGTGATTTTTAATTTGCTGTTAGAAGTATTCACACTTCCTTACAGTATCTGAAGAGAAGGAAGTTGTTGGATTTCCTTTATTTAGTTAAAATCTTTAGGGTTTTTAATTTTACTGTTTCTGTTTTCCCTTATTTCTTTTACATCTTTATTTCTTTTTTTTTTTTTTCCTGGCTCTTTGCAGTTTATGGCATGAGGGAGTTACACTAGCCCAAGTTAAAAGCAGACCCCGAATGTTACATTATACAAGCTCTGAGGTTTTTAAACTTGTGACATGGGACAGAAGGGAAATTCTACTCATTGCAAGGAAATCCTCACTTAAGCTTCAGCCAAAAACATTAAAACCCAGGAAACTTTATGTGGTAGTCTAGTCTCCCAGAAGCTGGCATGGGTTCTTGTGCGGGTCACCCTGTACCTGAATTACCTCTCCATGTTCTGTATGCTCAATGACAGTACCATAGCTGGCAAATTTTTTCTTAAATACCATCACTAGTTCCTTCTTATAATAATCATCAGTGATCTCTTGGACAGAAGTTAAGGGTCTTCCTGTCGTTTGTTTGTTGAATTCTTGTATGGATATAATCCTCAGTGCCAGCAGGAAGCACATCATCACCTTTACTTCCATCAGCACAGGGGTCGAAAGAGTGGTTTTGGGTAGTGGACATATGATACAATTCCTTTTCCTTGGTGGAAATGGCCTGCAGAAGGTGGTGGTGGGAGAAGATGAGGGCACAGAGAATAGGGAAGTGAGGGGACTCAAAGGGGAGGCTCTGAGTCCTTGGCCACAGCTCAGGGATTGGAGCCTACGTCTTTTTTAAAAGGCTTTTTTTAATACACAAAGTGAACCTTTTAAATATAATTATGGCATCAGTTTTCTGGTCTAAAACTTGGTAGATTTCTGATGAGGAATCAAGCAAACACATTTAGTATAAATTTATAAAACACATTGTCCCATCCTACCCTAGATTGTATTTTAAGATATTATGAAAACTTGTATTTTAGAGTACTGTTTCATTTCTTTTATATTGTATTCATTCTGATAATCCTTTTAATGTTTGGTGGATTTCTTCTTTTTTAGTTATTTTTTTCTAAAGTGCCACATGGGTATACATTTTAAGTGGCATAATTTAACATTTTCCATATTTCTTCAAAGGCCAGGCACTAGACAGAGGAGGTTTTGTTTTGTTTTCAATTTATCTTAGCTTGACCCAAGTCTGTTTATTATTTTATATTTGAAATGCTTCCTCCTGTTTCTTTAAGGCTTGTTCTGCTATATTTGGTAGTATTTGGTTTGCTTTTTAAGGAGAAAATAATTACATAATTCAAGTCATCATGTGGTGCAGCTAGTGGTACCTATTTTTAAAAATCATCTTTAGGGCCAGAGTACTGGTTGACTTGACAAAATAGATTAGTGTTATTTTGATAGTTATTTTCTATTCCCTTTTTAACCTCACCATTCTGTTTGCTTGCTTTGTTTTCTAGCCAGATACTGTAGGCAATAATCCAGTACCTCATGTGTTTGGTTTCTTTGGTCACTGTGCAGAAAATAGGTAAAAGTCATTGATTTTTGGCTTGTAAACCCTCCAGCTCACAGTATATTGTCTCTTCTTCCCTTACTATTTTGTATTATATTTCTGGTTACATGTCTGAGCCTTCTTTTAGCAGTTATGCCAAGAAACCAAGACTGCGATGTCATTTCTCAACATCAAGACCCTTATCCCCACGTGGCTCTTTATATCTCTGAATCTGATCCTTTTCTTATCCTTTTCAGCTCTCAAAACTTTTCCACTCTACATTTAGAACTTACTGCCATCACTACAATCTCTCACGACCTTAACTTCCAGAGTGTTGCCTTCACCTCTGGTTCTAATAGAAAGAACCAGAAGGAATACTGGCTAGGGCCATTGCTTCCCCAGCAGTCTTTTAAATAGTTGCTGTTTTCTCTCCTGTATCTCTTTTAGTACCAGGCCTAGAAGTAGAGTAGGTGTCCCTGTAGCTTCTCCCTTTCTTTCCTCCTCCTTAATAATTTCTAGCTTTATAGTTTATGTTATTAAACTATACCATCCATCCTGTTTGTTGTCATCTACCATCTTTTGATTTACTTCACCATCACTCCACTCTTGAAGATTTTAGATGTACTGTCAAGCTCTCCAACACTGTTTCTGTTCTAATTCTTTAAATACCCATGTAGATGATCTGTCTTAATACCCTGGTCTCTCATTTCTTGATCTTTTCTCCCTATTTCAGCTTCCTTGCCCATTGTCATACCCTAGAGATATTTCTTATCACAAATAATTGCTCTGCCTGACAATTTAGATACAAAAAATTCAACCAGCTTACTACCAGCACCCCCCTAGTCTCCCACTCCAAGAATTATTCATCCTCTCATTGAGACCTGCATCAACTGAACCACTTTTTCACAGCTCCTCATGTATAGTATATTCTCACTTTTCTCCTTACCTAGCATAGATCCCACAGTCCATCATGACAGTCACTCCCTTGCATCCATGCCCAACTCCCTTCCTCCTCTTTTTCTTTTGTTCTCCCTTTGTTGTAGCAGTTGTGTCTTCTCCCACACCATCAGCATTCCTCTCTCTATAGTCTATAAGCTCACTCCCATCAGTGTACATGTTATCACTCCACTGCTTCCGGACTGGCCTCCCTGGACATTAGTCAAACTCCTGGTTCAGGGCCTTTGTAGTTCTTCCTCCTCTGCCTGGAATGCTTTCCCCCCAGAAATCTCAAAGTTGATTCCTTTCCTTTAGACCTTCCCTTATTCATTATCTGGTTACCTATAAACCCTTGCACATAAAGTATCCTTTATACTTCGCTTTTTTTCAATAGCATTTATCATTTCCGGCAATGGATATTTTCCTGGTTTTCTGTCTCCCACCATTAAAATGTAAGCTCTGTGAGGACAGGGCCTTGTCTCTCATTCCCTGCTATATGCTCTGCACCTGGACTGACATTGGGACTTGGATGGTACACAGTAAATATTTTTTGATTACATGAATGGATTTGCTCCTCCCTCTTCATGCTTACCGGGTTTCTTATCTAGGGCTAATAGAATTGACATGGGAGGGATGGAATTTGTTTCTTAAGTAATAAATTGTACATTGAACTACACAATAAGAAACATTCTTCAAAACACAGTACTGTTGAAATAAAGTATGTTCTTTTTAAATCCAGATTTACAAATCTTATGAAGAGAGTACATAAAATTAAGTAAATATTCTCAAACATGACTTAAAATTTAGACTTGATTTTCTTTTCCCAAGGAAATAGGGCTGCAATTCTGGTGGGCACTTTGATTCTCTAGGCCCTGGAAAGCATAATGCATACAAAGATCCTACCCATATATAGGAATACCTACTGAGACTGGCTTTGAGAAAGTTAAGATGATTTGCATTTTTGGTTTTCTGGTAGTTCACATTTAAATCTAAAACATGTTGATTCATTTTCATAAATCCAGGTAAAAAGATCCTTCTTTCCACTTCTCTCGGGTATATGTTATATTAAAAGTACTGATATTCTAAAAATGTTTTTCTAGAATTTAAGATTTCTAGTTTAACTGAATAAAGATACTACACCAGGGGCCAAAAAAATAATGACTTGGAAAAATAAAGTAAAAATTTAAGTACTAGACAGTTCTTTTTAGTGGTTGATTTAGTGGAAAATTTCAAAACTCATAGCTTGAAAATTCTTAAGAAAAACAAGGGAAATTCAAGATGGCAGTTATGAATGTTTTTTAAAGTTGACATTCAGTTTTATTTTCGTTTTTCCTTTTTACTGAAACCCTTTCTTTGAAGTTGGATCAAGGAGATCAAATACTAACCTAAAAATCAATTGTGATGCTCCCAGAGGCTCATAACAGTCTTCAAAGAATCCATTAATTCCAATGTCTTTTATCTGTGTGCCTGGAAAAAAGTTTTTAATCATACAAAGCAGAGAGAATTTGTAGTACATTAGAATTGAGCATGCTTGGGAATAGGAAGAGAGACGGTGAACATTTATTAGCATTTGAAAATAACTTTCTGATAATATTTAAAACACTTTGATCATTAGCAACAAGTATAATAACCTAAAACAGAAAACTGTTTATAGGCTCTCATCCCATGTTTGCTAATATATATCAGGGTCTGATAGTAACTTCAAAGACACTTATGAATATTTCATTTATATACATAAAAGAGATGATGTTTTTAAATTAAGTGGCTAAGAAGCACTTTTCTTTAAAATGAGTTGATACCACTTTTTTCCTGATAAAGGCCTTAAAGAAATGCTAGTAGCTACCTACTATTGAGCCCTTAGAGCTAAGGATACTATATATTATTACTTCACTCAATTCACATATTATATAGATACTGCTCTGATTTTACGGAAGGGGAAATTAAGAACTTAAATAACTTGCCTAAGATCACAAAGCTAGTAAGTGACAGAAACAGACCAAAATGCAAGTTCTTAACCTCTTTAATATAATTCCTCCTCATTTCTACCCACACTAAGTGAGTGGTTCCTTATTTCTACCTCTGTCAAATTGCTACTTAGGAGGCTTACTTTGAAGGCCTTTGATAATCTGGTTTCTCGGCATCATTTTTAAGATTACCATTTTATTGTGTGTGCTTACCTACCTTCCTTTACTCATAACTTTGTTTACCCTTGTAGAATACATTCTATACCCTGTGGCAAAGCTCTGACTTGGCTCCTGTACTGCTTTCCACTACTTGTTACTTTGCATTTCTGTAGTACATAGCCAGTTGTGCCACCTTCATGCACTTCATGCATTTTAAAGAGGTTTTATTTTTTCATGTATACGTAAGTATATGCTGTAACATTTAATATACTGGTAGAACGTAGTGGTTGTCATTAATAGTATGTAAAAGTAAAGAAGACGTCTTTCTGGTTGTAAATTCAGATTTTCATGGTATCAAAAACATATAAATGGTATTGATAAAAAAAGGCAATGTTACTGTCTTGAGTACATACATTATCACTTATATTAAAAATATAGGTAATCTGACTTTCCAAGACAGTGATTATTAAGGCCTTTAGTGAGCCACTCACTGTTACTAATGAGAATGTGTCATATAACATGTTTTGGGGAGCAGGTGAGATTTTTAGTAATTAATGTCTTTAGGGAAAAAAACTACTCACGTTGCCAAAAGCATCATTTGGTGGCATTTCAAGTCACCTAAAATGAAAACACTAATTTTTCCTTTTCCCTTTGGATATAAGAAACATCATTTTCAATGAAAGGATTTTCATTCTATCTCAAATGATATGCAGGATAGAGACTTTTAAGTTAAACTTTAAAGTTAAAAAATAATGGGCACAATTTATAATTTTGAGAAATAGAAACTAAATACTTTATTATGAGGGGAAAATAACTTTAAATAGGAATTTGTTATTGGCAAAGAAACTCAAAGTGATATAAGAAAAATATTTCTGATTCTTTAGTGTGTAATGCAACCAAGTGACTCCCTTTTGATAACTTATTTACCCGCCTTGAGGTACTGTCATGAATTTCTGAGTGTTGTAAACTCAGTCAAATGCTGCCTAAAATTTCTACATTTTGATGCTGTTCATTACTAATTATTTTGTAGCCTATCCCTCGGCCAGATCCTGTGCATAATACTGAAGAAACACATGATCAAGTGCTGAAAACCAGATTAGAAGAAAAAGATGAACACATTGAGCAAGGACCCATGATAGAACAACTTAGCAAAATGTTCTTTACTACTAAGCACCGTTGGTATCCTCGTGGACAGTAAGTTCTATTTTTTCTTCAGTTCCCACAAGACACACTAAAGGAACACATAACTTTCCTTGCATTAGCAAACTTCCGAGGTTGTATTCTGCATGGGGAAATTAACACCCAATATGATCATCTACTAAGTTCCTTTTTTTTTCTTTTTTATGTATTTGCCCATTTATCCAAAAAATCTAAGTTACATTTTTAAATCAACATATACTGCAGCTAAAATGAAATAATACTTCTTTTTTTTCCTTTATTTTAGTGGGGGAATTTAACCAAAGATTTCAGTGAATTTTGCAAGAGTTCTTGAAATTTTTCCATTCTGTTATATAGTCAGTGTATTGTTTTCATACAACTTCCTGTTAAATGATGTTCTCTTTAGTTTTTTATCCATTTAACAGATTTTGAGTTATTGCAAAAAAAAGTAGGGTATAGAAAATGGTTGGGCAATGTATATTTTCTCAGTTCCTTTAGAAGTAACAGTTGTCCCTCTGTTTACAAATATTCACATTTTATTACATTGATTCTTTATCTCCTATCTGACTCTCTAATTCATAACATTTGGGTTTAATTAATTTTCTTCTTTTGATTCTTCTTCTATATCTATCTTACTCCCTACTAAAACTAAGAGGTGGCTTTTTTTTTTATGTTTGTTTGAGCAAACTTTGTTCTTATTCACTTGGACACTCAGTAACTAGCACTGGGCTGTGCATGTATGACAGAACATACTTATGGCATTAATGAATATACATTCATCACGCTGCTCTACTACTAAGTGCTGGGTGATCAAAAATACAATCCTTGTTTGTAAGTTGCTTATAGTCAAGGAGGGATGACTAGAGTAAATAAACAAAATTTAGTTATTGAGCATTGAAAAAAGAGTTAGGAATTAGTCATGAGGAATGGGGAAAGGCAGAGAGAACAGCAAATCAGAGTACCTGGGGAAATTGCAAGTAGTTCAGTGTGGAGGAAGGAATGTAGTAAGGGTTTTATGAAGGATTCTGTGTTGTGCTGAGGAGTTTAGATTTTATTTTTGTTGTAAATTTCAAGAAGCAAACTCACATGCCCAAATGTTATGAATTAGAGAGTTATTAAGTAGGTTCTGTAGTTAGGATAAAGTGATATATGAAAGATTATAGAGTCAGGGAGACCTGTTAGGAAACTATTATATTAGTCCAGGTGAAATCTGTTAAAGATCTAAATGAAAGGACCAGCAATGGGAACAAAAAGGGAGAAAATAAAAGAGAGGACAGTGTTTAAGAGCGTTAATTAACAACAGGAGGTTACCTGACTGGGTGTGGATGGAGAAAGAGGAGGAGGAGATAGGAGGCCTGTCAAGCTGCTGACAGAGGTTGGGTGGATGGTGGGGAAACAGGTTTGAGAATGAGGAAGAGAACCCGTTGTTGTTTACATTGAGTCTGCAAAGTCTATGGATCATCTGGTGGGGAACGATACTGAAAGCAAGTGGATGTATGCATCCGGAGCCTGGTTTACTTTTTAGTTTCTCTTTAGAAGGTGCTTCTGTCTTATCTTTAGTTTCAATAGAGGTTCTTCAGGGCTCTGCCCCATACTCCATGTCTTACTGAAATTCATGCTGAGAACTTTAATTGTATTCATTATACAGATGACATGCAACCTGCTCCATTATACATTTTTTAAAATTTCCTCAGTCTTATTCCCAATACCATTGTCTTCAGAATATTTCAAACTAGGTATCTCTCTACCCACAGAAAACAAATCACTAATTCAGAAAGATATATTCAACTTCTCTGTTTATTGTAGCATGTGGTAAGAACACTTAATCATGGTGTTTCGTAATGTATATAATTATTCAATCACTGTGTTGTATACCTGAAACTGATATAATATATATCAACTACATTTCAGTAAAAAAGACTAGAAGTCTGTCCAGAGTTTTAAATTCATTATAACAAAATATAATTCTTCTTTTCCTTTCTTGAAAAGCCCTACCCCCAGTAATCTTTCTATAATGAAAGTGATATTTCTGTATCAGTTTCCGATTTTTTTCTTGGGAAACTGATATAGTAATACTGCTTTCATTATCTGCAATTTTTTTGTCCACCATTGTGCCTTTCAACTCCTGCTTATATTTTATATACCCTTCCTTGATTTTTCTTTCTTATTTGTTATCCAGTTTTTTTGTACATGCTATCCGGGTTTTTCCCTGTCTTTGTAAGTTAGGTATCTGAAAACAAACTAGCAAGCTATTTCACAGCCCCATTATCTAAGTCGTTACTGTATTCTGAGATTTCTTGCCATGATTCATAACACTGCTCATGTTTTACCTTTTGTTTTTGCCCTGATATCCAAATATTTTAGTTCAAGCTCCACCTTGAAATTCTTTTATAATGGCTTTCAGTAACTGTTTCCTTCCTGCATGTTCCATATTGCTGCAATCTTTTGTCATCTTTTGTCCATAACCAAATCACTGACTGAAGTTATGAAAATCCTCTATAAAGGTGTGTATTTTGAAGGGACCAAATCTGAAGGCATGGAAACCATTAGGGAGTCTTAAAACCAAGCATGTTTATCTTAAGACTTTGACGTCTAGTACCCCACCTATGTTTAATCTTATTTACTTCTTTAATCTTATTACTGCTGATGAGCTTTGACTACTAACTAATTTAATCTCCTGGTTTGTCTTGTCCCATCAGGATTACTAGGTACTTTCAGTTCTAAACAGACTTTAATTAAATGCAATTGATTATCCCAGTATCTCTCCTCATAAGAGAAGAAAACTCCAGATACTGGCTTATGTATAGAAAGAACAGTTTTTACCTGTAGGCATTGTCCTTGTGATGTATCATCTTTTAGAATTATGAATAAGCTAATGTGTGATCATTAACTGAAAAATACTTATTTGCTATCTACATACATTTTAGATTAATGTTAGCCACTTCAGGTGTTGGTTTCTAAATGTCAGAAGGCACTGCTCCTTAAATATCAGGATATAGAAGAATATTTTACTAAATACTTCAGTTTTTAAGTTATTAAAATCAAATGGGATCCATTATTAATTTAATAATTGAGGATATATAACATCTTTTTAAATAAGTTTTTATTAAAAGGTTAACACAACAGAAGTACTTAAAGTATAAAAAGAAATCTTTATACTTACGCATACCCTTTTCCCCCTAGATAGAGAGTTTTAAACTCAATTTTGTGCTTTTGAACTCCAATAAGTTAAGACTCTTTTCTGAGTGTACAACTTTGTGTTAAAGAGGACTGGACTTACTCAAATCATCTTGCCCCAGCTAGTTATTCTATCTTGTTACCTATTAAAGAAAATAGAAATAATAAGCCTAATTTGTATGGTAACTTTGAGATAAAATTTCTAAGTTAAACACCTAGCATATTGTATATTCTCAACAATAATAAAGTATTGATAATTATTAATATTGTCTTCTCAGTTTTCCTCTTAACTCTTCTTTGAAGGAGCTTTTCTTAAATAGGCTTATTTGAGGTATGATTTACATATGGAAAAATTCACCAGTTTTAAGTTTATAACTTGATGAGTCTTGACATATGTATAGAGTTGTATGATCACTACCACAATCATAACATAGACTGTTTTATCACTCCAAAAAATTTTCTTAAGCCCTTTGCATTTAGTTCCCTACCTTTAACTCCTGCCCCTGGCAATCATTGATCTGTTTCCTATCACTTCTTACAATTTCATAAATCTCTAGATTCATGCAGTTTTGCCCTTTCTAGAATTTCATGTAAATGGAATTATATAGTATGTGCCCTTTTGTGTCTGGCTGATTGCACTTAGTATAATGCTTTTGAGTTCATATTGTTGTCTCATTAAAGTGTAAAGCTCATAGATCAGAGTCCTTTATGAGATAAATGTTTTGCAAATATTTTGTGTAGCTTGCTTGTTAATTTCCTTATTAGTGTCTTTTGTTTTGATTTTGACATAGTCCAATTAATAAGTTTTTCCCTTTATTTCAGGCTTTTTTTAATCCTACTTAAAAAACCTTTGCCTAACCCAAGGTCACTAAGACTTTTTCCTATGTTTTCTTCTAGTTTTTTCATTTTGATTCTAGGATTTAGGTCCATAATCCATTTAAAGTTAATTTTAATTTATGGTGAGGCATATGTCTAGGTTCATGTTTTGTGTATGTATATCTAATTGTTCTAGCACTATTCATTGAAAATGTTATCTCTCCCATTGAATAGCCCTAGTATCCTTGTTGAAACTCAGCTGACCATACATGTTCCATTAAAATATGTGTCTGTTTTTGCAGTACCACACAGTTGGCTCCTGTAGCTTTCTTAAAACCAGGTAGAGTGAGTCCTTTAAGTTTGTTCTCTTTTTCATCATTGTCTCAGCAATCCTAGGTCTTTTGCATGTCCATATACATTTTAGAATCAGCTTTTCAGTCTCTACAAAAGCCTGCTAGGATTTTGAAGATTATATTCAGTATCTAGATCAGTTTCAGGAGACTTGATGTCTCAACAGTATTGACTCTTCCCATCCATTGAAATGATATATTCCGCCATTTATTTAGGTCAAAATTTTTTTATTTAACACTGTTTTACAGTTTGCAGTATATCATTATTATATATTTTTTGTTAAATGTACTCCAAATATCTCATATTTTTTATGCTACTGTAAATAGGCTTGGGTTTTAATTTTCAATTTCAAATATTTTGTTGTTTCTATATAGAAATAAAATTGATTTTTGTACGTTGACTTGGTATCCTGTGATCTTGAGACTGGGCCTGGTAGATTTTTATATATTCCTTAGGATTTTCTACATAAAAGGATCATGGCATCATTGAATAAAGACAATTTTACTTCTGTTTTTACAATATGTATGCCTGTTATTTCTTTTTTTGCCTTATCTCACTGTGTAGGACCATTAAGTCCAATGTTGAGTAGAAGTGTTAAGAATGGACATTGTTGCCTTTCTGTCAGTTTTAGTGAGGGAAAGCAGTCAGTCTTTCAGCATTAAGTATGATGTTCACTGTGGGTCTTTTTGTAG